ATATTATATTTACGAGGTTTCTCTGTGGACATTTATTATCATGTACTTGCGTGAATTCTTCCAATGACTTGAATTTCATTGAACAATGTTTACAGGAGAACATTTTTAGACAAGACTATAATAAATATTACTGAAGTTTATTTAAACAAATCAAAACAAATTTATTAAAGCTTACGAAAATTATCTCGGCGAAGTAAGCTCTCTATTTTATCGCGTCCCATTGTTGTCTTTTGTACTATATTTGAAGAACTTACCAGATTTTCTTCGGTGGCATTGCTTTCTTCAATAGATGTGCTCGAGATTTGTTCGCTTTCAAAGGTCTGATTATAGAAGTTACTTGAAGTTGATGGCGAACATAAAAGCGCCTATAAAGTTTATACACAACTATATTTCGCAAAAGTAATTATGAAGCATATTATTAAGACCAAAACTGATTTGAGCTGTGCGAGTCGTCTACCGGAACAATGCTATCATTGTCGTGACATATATTTGAATTACTCATTATGTTTTTATATTTCATGTATTACTCTTGATTATAATTTTTTGCAGTAACTTCCGCTGAACAATGTTCAGAGGAAAACGACTTCGAAGAAGATGATAATAAATATTGCTAAATTGTATTTAAATAAATCAAAACAAATTTATTAAAGCTTACGAGAACTATCTCGGCAGATTAAGCTTTCTATTATATCGCGATCGATTGTTTTCGTTTTTACTATTTTTTTCAAGAACTTACCTGACTTTCTTCAAGCATTGGGGCACTGCATTGTTGAACAGAACTTCTCGTTTGGTCTTCTTCAAATTTCTGTTTATTGGAGTCATCTAAAAATGACGAATCGTCTGGCGGAATCGTCTAGAAAGTATTACACAACTATATATTCTATAAAAGTTAACTATAATTACATTGTTAAGATAAAATACTATTTAAACTGTGAGAATCTTCTGTCGCTACGGTGTCGTAAAAAAATGTTCATATACTTTTGTTTTTACCGTGTCTGCGATTAAGTTCTGCATGTAATTGGGATTGTATAAGGCTTGCTCCAGTATATCGAGTTCGTTGCAACATTTTTCACAAATACAATATTCCTAAAAGAAAATGAAAAAAAAAAAAGATTACTAAACTTTATTCAATAAATCCAAACGAACAAATTTAACGAAGAATGAGTAAAGAAATTTTATTGATTCCCCTCAGGGAGTTACAATATTTCTTTTCTCTTCCACATCTCCTACAACTAATTCAAGTTGATTGAAGATCCGATTCAGTTTGATATTTTCAATCGACTTAAACTCGACTTGAAAGAGACCGGGCCCGGACAAATCCGATGCGAACTCGGGACTTTCCGGCTCGCAGTCAGGCCGCGAGACCACTGCGAGCCGGTCTAACAAACAAATCTATTAAAACGACAGAAAATCTCATTTTCTAATATTTTCGAAATATAGCCATACCTCGTTATCTTTTAAATGTTTATGAACTATTTCGGCATGAGTGTTATAATCTTGCTTTGTGTTAAAACTCAGCAGACAAAAGCTACAGACAAAAACCATTTTCGAAACAGAAGCTCACAAGCATCACGCTTTATACCGAGCTTTAATCCGACTAACGAGTACAATGAAGTAAGAAGAAACGATTTTCGGCAACGCTCCCTCTGTTGTGTCTTTTATCCACTTTAAATCAGAAACCACCAATAGAAATTAAGAGATAAAAGCGGTCTCTCTTATATGAATTCTCCGTTATTCGTCGAGGTATTATTGTTTTCTCTCGTATGAAAATAATGTAAACACACACAAGGACTGGAATAATCGGGTGAAAACAACTTTTGTTATCGTGTGATCTTGCGAGGCCAACGTTACCAAACTAACATCTTTGGTGAAACTTCGAAAATATAATATCTCTAATTTTCACAATTTTGAAAATATAGATCACGTTTAACGATTGATATAGTTTCTGTGAATTTTTGTGCAAGAAATGTAAGAAGAAAAACATTCCCATTTATCGCAAACTAACTTCACGAGCTTTACGTTTTTGTAGTAGGCAAATTATTGCGCATTTTTAGCGCAAATATATATATATTCGCTGCGATAATCTTATCTCTCGTCGAATCTCGCATTTGCATACAAAAGTATATTCGACGCGCCGAGCACGGGACTGTATTTTGCACGCCAGTGTGCACCGGCACTGAATTGTTTCGCAAGAGAGAGGTAAAACTTCCTCTTCTCTCTATGCAACACATATCGGACAGCGGCTGTAAACGAACGGCGATATAAGAAGATGAATTTTCTTCTTTCCTTTTTGTTAAAAAAAAAAGTTTTAAAAAACAACACGTTCTGTCCGAAAAAAATTGTCTTTACGCTTTGCAGCCGAGTCGACTCTTAATATTGCATAAAAGTGTCGCATAGATAATCGCGGAAGCGCTATCATAATCGAATTTTATTGTTTTTTTTTTTATAAACACAGACTTTATTTACGAAGCACCGCCGTGTACTGCGCGCACATGTGCATACAACTCTGCATTAATTGAAGTTGTATCTTTGACTTCTTCCGATGGATACAGATACAGTTACTCGAACGAAACTCATTTGAAGAATCATGTAATTGATTACAGATGACGCGAGTTTCATCATTGCGTATTTATTCACAGTGCTCGGGCATGATTTTCTGGTTTCAAACTTGATTCCCCATTCAATTCTACGGGAGTCATATCAGACGCCATTGGTTCAGTTTCGCAGAGCGCACTTGGCAAGACGTAAATCTTCACTTAATGAAGAGAAAGCGATATATAATTCTTTGAACATAATATATAAAATTAACACAATAAATATATAAATATTGAATATAATAAAATATGACGTTAAATTTATCGTAATAT